AAGTCCAAAAATTATATTAAAAAGTTCTATCGCGCTTTGTTTTCTTGGCAATATCGAAAAGTTCAAAATACGCGTAGATGACTGTTGTTCTCTCCGCCTCCTCTAAAGCGATGGAAAATTCTGCATTCTCGGCGACCTTGTGCAGTTTCTCGATAATTAGGGTTAGTTGCCCCCAAGCTTTGGGGTAAATGTAGTAGGAGTAGTATTAAAACGTTTATCAGTTACAATTGCCTCCCGGTTAGCTCAATTGGTATAGCGCTGGACTGTTGTGCGGGAGGTCGAGAGTTCGACTCCGGCCGGACCAACACTCAGGGTCTTTAAATAACTGAGAAGAAAGTGCTGCCTTTGTAATAATATCTGCAAATGGTTAGACTTTCTAGTCTTCTCGGATAGGGACGATAAATGGAGGTCCCGTCTCACAAGCCCTTATATGTGATAAAAATTGTGGGACGTTAAAGAACCCACACACTCTTCGAAAAGAGTAGGGCACGTAGTGCCCGGTGTTGTGGTCTATCTTTGTGTAGTGTCTAATCTAGGGTGAATTGGGGAGGGAAGGTGAGATCAATACATGGACTGAAGTGGCTGCATATTGCGCCTGATGAATTCTGACGTCCGATCTCACCTTAACTGATTGTAAAAGCGCGACTGATTATCTATATAGGAGTTTGCGCTATATAAATGTTAAATTGTTGTTGTTTTTGTTGTTGTTCGTCGTGCTGTTAGAATTAATAGCAGGTTTATGTTTTCTTAAAAGAGACCAGTGTGTTTATATACAATTTCCATGTCCTAAACTCATTGTAAACAATTGACAGAATTGGCTTCATCGCTTGATGGAAACTAGCAGCAAAGCAGTCCAATCTTCGTAAGACAGACAGATAACGTCAGTCTATCTAATTTCAAAAATACTGGACTTGAAGTATCGAGGTAAACATGTACCGATGCGAGGACCAAAAAATAATGAAGCAAAACAGAAAATAAAGTTATGGTCGCTAATTGTGACGTTGAGAACCTGGAACATCAAAACTGACAATTGATAGAAGGTAAGTCATCACACCTATTTCAATGATCAAGCAAAACAGGTCAAAAATCTCGTAAAAAAATAGGGCGGGATCTGGATCCGAGCGTAAAAAAGGGCGGGATTGTGAAGAAAAAAAGGCGGGAAAGCGGGATTTGAGAACCCCTATTGTGGACCCTCTTTATATGTCGTGAAGAGTCTTGGAGTGAGCGATCACTCCACAGTTTTACAGCCATTTCATAAAGACTAAATGCTAAATGGTTCGTTTAAGGCCAACGGTGATCTGCAAAATACAATGCTAAAGATTCCACTGAAAGATTTCAAAATTCAGATCTTGAACAAAATGAATACACTACGTATATTTCATACTCAGGGTTTATATCTTATTACATTTCAGACATGAGAGCTGCTAAGTAAATAGTCAAGTTATCTATGCTAAAAAGAAAAACTAAAAAATGGCAAAATGAAAATGTCAACATTCGCGATTAATACAAAAACAAAAACAAGCTTAATTACCAAAACATGAACTAGTACTATACAAGTTTCATTTCCCAATCATGTATGTTACAAACGCTTAGCACATTATTGCAAAAATAATTGCTCTAAACAAGCAATTTTATATCTATTTTTGAAGACAGTAGTTGTCTCCATCAAAATAATGCTAAAAATTGTCCAAATTTATTTTAAAGAACTTCTCTCTTGAGCCGACTTATGATCAATTCGAAGCTCCAACATTTCCTTTATCTGTGTGTGTCACCAATGGATCCAATCAAATGTGTGTGTAAATTATTCAGCTTAACACATTTTGTTTAACATAAAATGTTGTGCAATGGTGCAAAAAGGCTATTAATTGATAAATAGATGTTAATCAAGTTAAAGTCACCAGATTCTTACAAATGATAACCATCTGGAATTTATTGGTGATTGGCAAAGTTATCTCTGCTTTCCTAGTGACCATCTAAAACTAACTGCCAGGTTATGGTTTGAATATCTAAGAGATATTATTTAATTTATAGCAATACTATTCTGCAAAGTCCTATATCGCTCGTCAATTTCTTCGATTTCACCTTCCTCAATTTTCAGTCGACGTGCCAGTCGATCCCACCACTTAATACCAAATATTTTTTACAATACAATGAGGGTAAGACGTGTATGTGATCGTTCTGCACTCTTTCTCCTCTACTTCGCTCTCTACTGGACCAACCAACCATTTCTGAACGGAAGACATTACAGAAGCTATGAATCTACAAATTGGCCTCGAAAATGCGACCCGAGACTGAATATTCTGCCTCCTAGAAGGGATTTTTTCTTTCCATCGTCGCATTTCTGTTCGACCTACAAAGCTGCCGGAATCTTGC